GCCATGGTTTAAACAATTCAGCCTGTGAAGATGTTAATTCTCCTTAATTTTGGCCTGTTGGTTCAGTGCAATCCCAATAAATATCCTCGCAGCCATTTATGTAGAAATTGACAAACTGATTCCAAAGTTTTTTTGGAAGTACAAAAGACCTAAAATAGCCAAAATAATTTTGAAAACAAGCAAAGTCGGATGACTTACGCTCCTTCGGGGCTAAGGATACACATAGAGATTAATGGAATGGGATACAGAGTCCAGGAATATATGCAAAAATGTATGATCAATTGATTTCCAAGTACTGAGATAATTTAAGGAAAAATATTTCTATAAAAGGAGCTAGAACAATCGGCTTCATCTTACGCATGTGCAAAAATTAAGTTGAAATGAGTCAGAGACCTAAATGTAAGAGCCGAAAACATACACCTTCTAGAAGAAAACAAAGGAGAAAATTATTCTGACCCTCGGTTAGTCCAAGATCTCTTGCATGGAACACAAGAAAGAACACCAGAAAACACGAATGAAATATTGATGAATTGGGCTTATTCTAAATTAAAAACTTAGTTCTTCAGCAGAAACTCAAAAATAAAAAGCAAGACACATTTACAGAAGATACCTGCAAAGCATACACCTAATGCAAGACTGATGTGTGGAGTAAGTAAAGAACGCTTGCAACTCAATAATAAAATTAGAGATAAAAAGCAGGCAAATAGTTTGAACGGATATTTCACCAGAGAAAATGTGTGAAGTGTGAATGGCAAAAGATTAGTCTCGTGAGACATGAGGAAAACACAAAAGCACCACGAGATAGCACGCAGACCTGCTAGGAGGAGTCAAGTACCGTGAAGATGGGCAACGCCTGCCGCCAGCGCGCTGCTCGGGAAACGCGCGGCCACACAGCCGTTTTGGAAAGCAGGCGGTTTCCTCGAACGTTAATCAGGTACCTACCGTATGGCCCAGCGATCCCACTTCCAGGGAGCTACCCGAAAGAAATGAGATCGAAGGCCTGCCTGCAAGTGTTTGCCAAAGCTCGATTCCCAAGAGCCACAGACCAGAAGCAACCCTGGCTGATGAACGGCTGAAGGAACCGTGAAATCCGGCCCGGCGGTAGAAAGCGGTCCGCTGCCAGCGCGTGCAGCCGCCGGGTGCCTCTCAGAGCCGTGATGTGAGCCAGAGAAGCCGGACACACAACCTGCGCGCTGCTCCACTCGGCTTATGTGGGATCCTCGCGAAGGCCGACGGGGTGGCAGCAGAGGCCGGCGGCCGTGGACCGCGCGCGGGGAGGGGAGTCGGTGCGCAGGAGCGAGAGAGGCTTTTTGGGGTGATGGGGATGCTCCGCATGTTAGCTGTGGGGGTGGTGGCTCAACTATGCACGCTAAACTCCTTGAGAATATACTTAAAGTGGGTGGGTTCTATTTCATGTAAATTACACGTCAATAACGCCAATTTTTAAAATGAATTCCGGATTTCAGAGGGATGTGCATGCGGCAGTGCTTAGGAGGAGTTTGGAAGCAGGAGTTTCGAGGGCGGCCGTTCAGCAAGTACATATTGAGCATCTCCTGTGTTTAATAACTGCCGTGAGCGCTGTCCATTCAGAATCGGGTGAAACATGCCGTCTGTCCGTATGACGGAGCTCGTTGTGTGGATTAGGGAGATAAATATTTATCAGCTGGGTAATTACAAGGCAGCCGGCAGAGTGTGCACAGAGCGCTGTGAGAGCGCGGAGCACTGTCTTTGGCTTCTCCAAGATCATTTTCAAAAAGGTTTCAATGACAAGTAGGAGCTGACAACTGTGGGAAATTATTCCAGACATAATTTGGGCATTTCCTAGAAATGAGGGCCTAACCTAGAGGGAAAGGGGAGAGATTACTGTACAGGGAACAGAATCTTGAGCTCCATATATTTGCCAGGAGGGAAGGGGTTGGGAAGCCAGTGAGGGCCACACAGCGTCTGAGCCCAGACGCGAAATACAACAGGAGGTTCAAGACACGGGACAGTCTGATACGGACCGAGAAATGAGGCGCATCCAGGACTCATTCAAGTCCACTGTACTTAGCGGGTCAGAGGCCCCTGATGACTTTTTAAGATGCTTTAGTAATACCAGGAAGAAGGCGTTTCAGGTGGTGAGAAGGTGTAATAATATTTATAAAAATGAAAGTAGCAAAAGACTGGTCTTCGTCAATGAACGTCCTTGTTATGCATATGAACTTGTAAGTTTATAAGTATTACACAGATAAACTCATCACATAGAGAGAGCAAATACAAAGAATGTTTTCATGTACGTGATTTTTAAGAAACATCAAAGAAATGATAGGAAGTGGCCTCTTGTGGAGGTGGTGGTGCCATTAGATTTGGCGGGGGTTGTTAATGATCTTTGATAATAATTTTCCAAAGGCTTGTAAAGGCACGATCTAGACTTTGAAGTCACCAAGTACAAGTACGTGAGAGCAGATAGAAAGAGACCATGGCAGTTCCAGGAAATTCTGAAGCACTGCCTCTCCTCCACTCCTCCACTCGCCACCCCCATTATCTGACTCCTGCTTTTCCTTCAGTTGTCAGCCTAGATGTTGCTACCTCAGGAAGACCTCCCTGTTCGGCCTTCCCAGACTGAGGTTCCCCGTGTCACACTGGCACAGCATTCTGTCTCTGCAGAACCTGCCAGCCTGTGACACGCTGTGTGTTTGTTAAATGCCTGTCTTCTTCAGCCGACTGTCAGTTGCACCAGGGTAGACACCATGAGATTTGTTGTCCAGTTTACAGTCCAGTGTTGACGCAGAGTAAGCTCTTAATCAGTGTGTGTTAAATGAGAGGGAAAGAGGGGAGCATTTCCAGAGCAAATGTCTTGGAGGTGGAATAGTTACGAGCTGTCAAAGCCCAACATGTCACGCAGCATGTGGGCTGCTGGTGTGGACTGAAGAGGAAGACTTAGGAAACTTGGGTGACTACTTTTAGAAGATGTACTCAAATTCCTTGGGCTCACCGAGATCAAGGATGGGATGTAGAGGAAAGAGTGGTGTTTTTAAGTGGATGACAGAATGGGAGAAGCTGAGGTAAAGCAAACAGGTAGACTTCAAAACTGAGGAGAGTAAAAAAAAAAATGAGTTTTGAAAGCAGTGAAAAATGTGTCGTCTTTGTCTCCTTGGCAGGTGCATGGGAGTTTATAGAGGATTGTGAGCCAGGGGAGTAGAAGGGAACAATGCTTTGAGTAAGGTGAGAAGGTATCAAGCTTGCTTATAAATAAGAGGAAGAAAGTATAGGAGGTTATGTTCACAATAAGACAGGTATCACAGGACGCAATGTGACAACTACCAGAGGAAGGGTGAAGATGATGGAACCAGTTTATAGGGGACAATTCCTTTCAATGCATGTGCTTAATAAGTATTAATTGGTTAATAGACCTGTTCAGTGAAAATTTCTCACTTCTAGAGAAACAGCACTAAAGAACACAAAAGTGAACAGTGGTTATAGCAAACAAGGGCTATTTGTTATGGGTAGCCCCTTGTCTTGGAATGTAATTGCACGTAAATATATTTATATTATTTGCATGAAATGTTTTTGACTTGAAAGCATTTTCTTGTATTTTTTAATGCTCTCACACACAGTGATACAGATTCTTCACAAAATACACAGCTGCCTGGTTTCGACTTCTCAGAAATCCTTGATTCTGAATAATAGAACTTACTTTGCCTCATATTTTTAGAAATGAGTAATCATGCCTTAGAAGCTTTTGTTTATTTAAGATGGTTTACAAAAAAGTATAATAGTGAAACAACTTATTTTAGTTTTTGTAACAAAAAGCAGTATAGTGAAACTTACGTAGCTAGGAATACCTTTCCCTGTTGCAGTGTTTCAGCCCCACTTACAACCAGCGTCACATAGCGCGTGGGTTTGTAAGGTGGCTGGAGTCAGGAATGCTGTGTTTGGCCATGAAAAAGAGGTGTCTGCTTGTCCTGTAGACAAAACAGAGTGATTCCTATGGGAGTCAGAGAGCCCCCGACCCGATTCACACTGTCTTTGCTACCGAGGGCTTTGGCACAGGCCACCTGCTGGCATGTTGTTCTTGCTCCTGTTGAAGACCGAGAGTCCAAGTGCCCTGTGACATCCTTGTGAACAGTGATACATTAAAACATGCCACTTCCCATAAATGTGTTTTTTTTCTTCTTAATCAATTTCATAAAGTTTCTTTTAAATGTGATCCTCACAGTATTTTTCCTGGTACACTGAGATACGGCTCTCTGACTATTAGGAAACTAATTTCTGTCCTGAATGTGAAACATGTTAGAAAACATTGCTACTGATGTATAACTAGATATGCGAGGGCTTCATTGGTTATTGTTAATAATCCTGACTCAAAGCACGTAGTAGGTTAATTCTTGGTAATACAAGGACAGTGCTGATGTGGGAGAGTACACCTCATCGGCTGCAAAGTTTTGCATGTGTGAATAGTTATTACCAAGGTGGAAAGAAAAGAGAAACTCTGCTTTTATCTGTACTTTTTCTCATCACTTGAATTCCTTTCAGTCTTCTTGGTACCCATGAATAATTTTTTCATTGAACAATGACATTTCAAGTTGTCGCATTTTAGTTTTCTTCAGTAAGATTCCCTGTCCTTACCACCACCGCCGCCCAGAAAATTAAATAAAAAGTAATTCTCAGCATGTACGCGGGGCACTCCTGATTTGTCTTTTGAATGAGTCAAAGCTGAGAGAACTGTGTGAGAGTAGCTGTTAGTGTTAAGAGTCGGATAATTTGAAGGTTGATCGTCTAGGGTACAGTCAGAGCAGGAATTTGATTCAGTATCTCCCCTGTCACCGAAGGTACGATCTGCCTCATCTCCTCTCTGTCTTTTACTTTGGTGGAGATTTATTGTCTAAATCGGAGTGTGCAGGAGGAAGAGATTTGAGCCTGAAAAGCATATCAATGCTCCCTCCACGCCATCAAAAGCTAGCTGTTAATTTTGCTTTGGGTGAGACTGACAGCACACTCATCTTGAATTCTCTTTGCAGTGGGTAAACCTCACAAGTGCAACTACTGTGGACGAAGCTACAAGCAGCGCAGTTCGCTGGAGGAGCACAAGGAACGCTGCCACAACTATCTCCAGAATGTCAGCATGGAGGCCGCGGGGCAGGTCCTGAGTCACCATGGTGGGTAGGAACGGCCTTCAGCTTTCACAGCCCTCTCCGCCGCTTCTGTCGGCTTTCTATGGGTTAAACACTTCTGTCTGCCCTTCGGCATGAAGAGGAAATCTGACTTTGTTTAAAACAATTGTAGATCACATTAACAGTCTGGGTTATCTTCTGAAGCATTTGAAATGAGCTGAGCTTTGGGACACTTGGCAAACAAGCTGTGCTGAGTTTTTGTGATGCTCCCCAGTTATTTCTCATAACATGTGTTTGAATTAACATCATAATGGCAGGTGAATACACCAAAGGAAGGTGCTGTTTGTTCTTCCAAATAGTTAGAGACGGTTCCACCTAAGTCTGCAGGCTTCCTAGAAGATTTAATTGGTTATTTGTGCATTTCCGTTTCTCTTAGGTAAGTGATCAGGGATATAATTGGAATTTTCCGCAATCCGTCTTGTGAATTATCTGGGAAACTACTGATTTTGCTTTCTATAAGTGTGGGGCACAAACTAGATCAAAATTAGGCACTATTTCTCTCCACAAAAATTAAAACCCAAGCAAAGCATCCTGACCTCCACAATACACAGCAGCAGATGGGAAGGCAGTCTCTAAGACTTTATCAGTTAATAATTCTCTCTTACAGAAAAATTCATGTTAGTAAATCAGCCTTACACAGGGAAGTTATTAATTTCTGTTCTTTAGATTTGGAGCCATCTTATTATCCTAATTATATTTATTTTATTATTCATACAAGTACATACAAAAATCTAAACTAATTGATATTTTTATATCTGTTATATAAAGATTGGCCAGTATTAAATAGTATATGATTAAGAATGCTATAGTCACTTTTAAAGTATAAATATCTATTGAGTGATTTGTAGAGAGCTAAAAGATTATCTGTGGGGTTTTTGTTTGTTTTATACAGTGCATATTGTAGAGCGGTGTTTATTGGATAGCTAATGATTGTACGTTGTTGGGAATTCTTTTTAATGAAAATATTTTGTTATTGTGAATAATTGAGGCATTTCTTTGTATTGAGGGTAATTTATATAATATAAAGGGTCAGAGTTAATTCTGTTCATCATCGTGAGTCCATTTTTTATTATATTGTTATTAACTAAAAAATTTTAAAACCTCTCTGTTTTAAGTCTTAGTAAATTTGATATTGTAAGCTTGCATTACCTGGGCTTGTGAGGGTGGCACAGGTTCCAGAGCAGACAGATGAAGGTGCTGTGAGTCCAGCCAACCTGGTCTGGCTATGTGGTGTCTGAGTGTGTTGCTCATAGGCTTGGCATGAGAATTAAATGTTATTGGGTGTGCAATAAACACCCAATAAATAGTTCTTTTTACTATTACATTTCTGGGCATTAAATATTAAGAAGTAGTAAATGTCCAATCCCCTTTAAAGTTATGTTATTTACTGGTATTAATTTAGGCATTGGAGGTTTCATCTGCTGACTAAGTACACTGTTTCTGTTTAAAGTGCTGGTTGTAGAGGTGTCTTGAGGCAGGGTAGCTGATGGAGGCTTGGGGACATGCCAAAGATTGCCAAAAATTTCCAAAGACACCTTCTGGCACTGCCACTTTTTCCGTATAATGGTCTCTTATTGCAGTTTTGACATTTGATTGGATTATTGATTCTATTACTTCATTTTTCTGATCATAGTTATTTATGAAACTCTGTGTTGCAGGCACATCTGAATGAGAGAGAATCTCTCCAGGAGACTTTATATTGTTATAGGGAGATAGGTATACATAAATAATTATAGTCAACATTTTAACTATCTTTTGGCAGATTAACTAGTTATAGAATAAGTGCCAACAAGCAGTTTAAGCAGGTATATTTTAGGAAGGGGGAAAGACATTTTTCTAAACAACTGCAGCCTCAGCATGAACCCCATTTTTCAGCTTGCTTAGCTCTTCACAGCAAAGGCCCGTCACAGGTGGCTCTGAAACTGGACTTGAGGACGGAGGGTGGGAAAGTGGGAGAGGCCCTCAGGTACTGAGGAGTGCAAGGGCAAAGCCAAAGAAGAGTGGCGGGGAAGAGGTTTCGGTATCATTTATAGGCCCAAATATTTGTTCTTCAGTGTTGGATATAGATTTAACCACCTAAGGTAATGGTAATGACATTTAATGTGTACTTCTTCTAGGTGTATTGTAATAATAATCTGAGATTACCCTTAATCTCCTTTCCCCTTGGTTAACATACTTAGTGGGAAATTGAATGTATGGGGTAGAGATTGATAAATGCCACAAGAGAGGAAAATATGGATAAATGCTGCTAGAGTTCGTCATTAACCTCAAAAACATTGCTTGGCACATGTCTCCTTTCAAACAGAGCCACAATGAAATCAGTCGTATTCCCTTCCCTCTCTTACTATCTTGTTACATCTCGTCTATGTTTTTGGTCTTTTCTTCTTGTGGTATGTGTGGGCGCTGCTCTACTTGTGGTTGCCGTTAGCTCCTTGGAATTAATTACTATTCTCTTATTTTCATGTCTGCATAACATAGTTTTATTTCCTAGCCTCTCTTTCCCAAAACACGCCCTTCCCCACGCTGGCTCTCCCAGTGAGAGAGTCTCTGAAGCCAGAATGGCATTCTGTCACGTCATTCAGGATGCGCTCATCGGGGCTTGTGTGCCAAGGGCTATGGGACATTCTGGGGCTATAAAGATCAATGGAACGGACACAGTTTCTTTCTTGCCTTTAGAGTCCGGTAGGAAATACATACTTAAAACTAAAATAAAATGAAGCCAATGCTCTAATGGAGGCGTATTTATGCTTCTCCAGGGGCCCAGCTGCAGAGCTGGCTTGACTGTGTGTGGAGAAGTCAAGGAGGGCTTCTTGAGAGCAGTGGTTCATCCCTGCGTGAGAATGAGAAAGCGGGCATAGACTGGACAGGCCCGCAGAGGCACTGTCCAGGCACAGTTCCCATCAGCTAAGGCGCGGAGCTTTGAGAGAACATTGACAGGTTCCTGGAAGGTGAGCGTACAGTTGGAGCTAGAGGAGGGGCAGGAAATGTGATTGAAATAATAGGTCGTAAAGTACAGATAGAGCCTTTTATGCTAACCCAATGTTTGAATTTCATGGGGGTAATCAAATTTGGGTCTTCTGAAGAACAATGTCACCGGTGTAGGATGCCCGCTCGCCGGGAGGGGCAGGAAGTGAGAACGCTGAGGGGACGGACAGGCAGCCCCAGGCGAGGAGGGACCGGGTGAAACGCTGAGCACGCGGTCAGCAGGTGGGAGGAAAAGTTCCTCAGTTTGATGGAAAGAGAAAAATAACGACTCGTCGTTTTGAAAACAAAGATAATAATGAATTTGGTTTTATGGCAGATTATCTTCTCTGAAAGTTATTTTATGCTCATTTTTCAAGTCTGTTCAGCTTGAAGAAAAAGCTTTAAAAACCAAAGCGTATAATTAACTCTTTCCCCTTGCCCAAAGACAAAAGTGAAAGTGCGGACTGGAAAGACAGCCAACTTTAAAGAAAAAAATTATTTTTTTTAATTTATGGTTTGAATTATTTGGTAAAGAGAATTCCTTTTTTGCAAATATGGAGACATAATGGGAACCTGTGAACTCTGTTGTAAGCTTTTTCAACGTTTTCATTGGGCAACATTTCCTTCAGTAAGTCATTTAGGAAACACCCATTGACTAGTATATTTGTCTCACATCATAAAAGGTACTACAGATACAAAGTCAGGTAAAACACAGTCTCTACCCTATGGTCATTTACAAACAATTGGAAGGAATCGACAGTAAGCCCACAGTTAGACCACTGTGATAAGCACTCTGAGGGCACAAGGACAGACATCTAATTCACACTGGCTATCCGAGAGGAAATTCTAGGGAAAGTTTTTGAGTGGACTTTTGAAAGGCAAGATGGCCAACTGAATAAATGGAGGAGGGGCTTCATGCAGAGAGAACAGCACGTGTGAAGAAATAGAAATCTAAAAGGGCGTGGTGGGCTAAGGACCAGAAGCAGCTGTGTGTAATTAATTAGAGCCCAGTTTGTAAGGGCAAGAAAAGTTGGAAGGTGATAAAGCTAAAGATATAGGCTATGAACAGGGCATCAAGGGCCTGTTGAGCTAAGTGAAGAATTTGTAATTTATCCTAAAAAAAAAATTATCATATTAACATTTTATTGCTGGAAGTGTGGGAGATAGATCAGAGTCCAGATAGAGGTAAGTAGGCCACTGCAACTATCTGTTGATTGATTGAGTTGGGCTTAGTGGCCTTCAATATGCAGAAAATTTAGGTACTTGGGAGCGACCATAGATGCAGATTCTAAAACACTTGGTCCTTCCATGTGTGTGGAGAGGTGGCAGGGAAGAGGAGGGGTGAGAGACTGGGTGAAAGGAAGAAATCTAGGATCTGCCACAGTTGTCTGGCACGGATCACCAGGTAGGTAGTAGTGCCATTTGCTGAGATGGAAATTAGGGAGACAGCACGTTTGGGGAGGGAAACGGAGATTTCTGTTTTTGAACATATTATTCTTTAAGTACCTGCAAGAGGTAGTCAAGTGAAACTAAGAAGTCATCGAATATTTATATGTGTGTGTGTATATACATTTATATTTATGTACATATACACACTCATACATATATATTCAACTTGAGAGAGGGATGGGTAGGAAATAAAATTGTGGGAGCCATCATTATATAGATAGTAGCCTGAAGTAGCAGGTTTTATAAAGTTAAATGGGTAAGTATAGAGTGAGACACCTAGAAGGCCAAGAACACACCAGGAAGGAAAAAAAAAGCACCGTGAAGATGGGTAAGAGCCGAAGGCTTGAAAATGGAAAGAGTGATTTCATAGAGGCCAAAGCAAGGACCAGCACTATCTAATGTTCTCAAGAAGATAACTAAGATAACTGAAAAGTTTCTTTTAGATTCAGCAGCATGGAGAAAATGCATGACAATGTAGAAGACACCTGTTGTTTCTGCCTGCCCCGCCTACCTTCCTTCTTTTGATAACAAGACTTTCATTTCCCTTTAGAGAAATGAAGCCATGGTGGACTGTTGGTCTAGGTGCCCTCTTCTAGCCATGGGATGGACGTATGACCTAATGTGGGTCTCTTAGATTGTGTGTTCTTGGAATTTGAAATTTAAGTGGATGGATTGTTCAGTACAATAGCTGTATGTTGGGAACACTGTGGTTCTGTCTTTATGATTTAATCAACGAGATAATGAAATTATGCCAATATAAATCTATTTTTATCCTGGTTATAACTTCAAAAATAACTCCAAGGCAGATATTTGGTTATGAAATTTGCTCCAACAAGTGAAATTAGCATATTGGTATTTTCTTAGCCTAGCTGAATGTCTCACTATGGGAGTAATGCATTATTGAGTTAACTAGGGAGCTTGTTTTATGTGTCAAGAAATACATAGCAGTGGGCAAGAGTAGGTTTACAGTTTGTATGGAAAATAATACAATAATTAATAAATAACAATACAAGAATAAACTCTGTTTCATGTACTCACAATCATAAACCCACTTTTGCCCCTGTATATCCAGAAACATTTTGATGAGTTGCACCCAGATTCATGAAAGCAAAAAAATTGAGGTTAGTTACATAATTGAGAAAATATATCAGCTATATCCCCAATGGCAGACCATAAAAATATGTGAAACTTGTTTATATAAAGTCAAAATTCAAATTATGTCTACAAAGAATACTATAGCAGAGTGGCTAAGGAGCTAGATCACGTAGGTGCAGTTCATATATTCCTTACTAACAAGATGTAAACCTGAGGAAATAACATCTCTGGGTCTTTGTTTTCCTATCTGTAAAATGGAGACGGTAAATGTGCCTATCTCAGGGGGTTGTTGAAAGCATTAAATGAATTATTAAATGCACATCCTTAAAACAGTACTTACACATGTCAGTTCTTGTTGTTGTTGTTGTTGTTTTTATTATTGTCAGTATGGTAGAAAGAAGATCAGTATTTGATATGCAAAGGACCTTTGCAAAGTAGAATTTAGACCAGAGCTCTGCCAAAGTCATTGTTTTCAGTTCACATGAGCTTCATTGAACTTGGGACAAATCATCTGACTTGAGGTGGATGTGGTGTGGAACTGTTCCCACACCCAGGTTTCGTTCTGAATGTTAAATGTGTGCAAATATGAAAATTCAAGGTAAGACTTAGAGAAAAACTGCTAAGTTTTAGAATAGTCATTTCAAAACTAATTAGTATATTCAATTTGGGGGCAAACCCTGTTAGCCAGTTTTGCTGTTTTTTAGCAAAATTTACAACAACAAACTTTTTTTTTTCTTTTCTTCTTTCATTTTGGGTCATGGTCTAAAAAACTATAAACCATTGTTGGTTTACAGTTATTTGGTCTATAGGTATTTTTTAAATAATGTAATAAGTGTTTGTGAACCCACCACCCAAAACAAAAGTCAAGATTTTGACAATAATCTGCACCCAATTACATGGTCCCCTGCCACCTCACCACTGCCATTCCATCCGCCTGTCCCCCCTTATTTGAATTCTATGGTCTTCCTTTCTTTGCTTTACTTTTATAAGTTTTTTTTTCTTTTTTACTTTTAGTTGTTTCTAAGATAGGGCATAATGTTTTGCGTAATGGAGGGGGGCACACTTTTTTCACTTGATATTATCAATATTTCAGTATAGAAATGAGCTGTTTCCTTGTTTCCGAATCTCATTCTTGGAATTTATTCCCAAAATAATATCCAATAATTGCAGAATCCCTTGTCCTTCATAACCAGAGGACCTGTTATAAAACAGAGATTTAAGATTAAATTTTTCTGGCCCATCTACCAGACTACATTAGGTTAACCCCAAACTCAGATTGAATGTCGATCTCTTTAAACATGTCAATTTAGGAAAACAATTTTCCGATGCTTTCCCCCCCCCAAATCTGCAACCTGTATTGCTTATTAACTAGGTCACCTGAATTGTGCACTGGATTTTCGTAACTTTCATCTCTTCCTTCCTCACTTCATTTTAGCGTCCACCCTTATAAATGAGAATGCATTGTGTTTCCCCCAGTGGAACTATCCTTTGCAAATGCAAGGAGCAGAATAAGCCATTTTACAGCACATGGGAACAAGTAAAGATACCCTAAGTATTAAACCCTTCAGTTTCCGAACAGCATTGGCACAGGTACAATTGGAGAAAACAGCAATAATCAAGAAGCAATAAGTTATGGTCTTGCCTGCGAACACAGGTTTTAATCCATGGATCTGTCCGTCTCAGATGTTACTTAGTTAAACCTGCCCTTAGTTAAATGTTCTTTGACAGTATTTTTATTCAACAACAACTTTGATGAGTTCTTTGCCTACCCTGCGTGTGTCAGTATCTAACCTATGAGCTAGTATATTAGCCCATGAGCAACTGGGATGAAGAGGGGGCAGCACTGGAACGTTTGTGTTGAACGAATTAGAGCAGTTTAGTGAGCAAATATGCCAGTTTGGAAATGGATTCTTTTATCCTGCCGAAGAGCTCTTTTTAAAATAAAGCCCAACCCTGAAGCTGCTGCAGCTTACTCCCCATGTTCAGAATTGGATCTCCTTCGTGAAGGCTGCTCTGTGCAGGTAGTCAGCTACTGCCATGGGGCGACCAGCTCACTCAGCGCATCAGGTAGAAAATCTGTTACAAGAAAATACTTGGGAAAAAAAAAAAGAAAATACTTGGGTGGAAAAAACAACTGGTTAAATATTGTGCCGTTATTCTGTGTGTCTGTTGAAGCTTTCCTCCAAAACTAGTTGACTTACTTAAATTGTTTTACAAAAACAAACTCCAGAAGCCTTGAGCATAGTGCAGTCTTAAAGTAGTATTGATTTTAATCAATGTTAAAAAACACTTTCAGAGGCATAAGATGAGAAACAAGATGAACATGTTTGCCACCAATAATAGTGGCAGCGGTTCACGCCATGGATCTGAGAGAGACTCAGATAAAAAGAAACCCTCTGTGTGAGGGAGTAGAACTACTGGGGACTTGAACACTGGAGGTTATCTTTCTACTGGCTTTTACGCAAGCATACTGGCTTATGTTCGTATAACACATAATGAGAGGGCAAATTCAGCGTTGTATCTTTAAAGTGTTGAAGAAATTATCAGATTGCATTTTTTGTATGGTTTTATATAGTCCCTCCTATAGAAGACTGTAAGGAACAAGAGCCTATTATGGACAACAATATTTCTCTGGTGCCTTTTGAGAGACCTGCTGTCATAGAGAAGCTCACGGGGAATATGGGAAAACGTAAAAGCTCCACTCCCCAAAAGTTTGTGGGTAAGCATTACAAATGCTTTTGTTTCTTTAAAGAGGTGGTTTTAATGGGCAAAGACAAGTTCCCATGTATTAGAAATATATATGGTGTACTTCAGTTCATGAAATAAACATCAGTCTTTTTTTTGCATCATTCGTTTCTACTTTATGCCACTCCATGTGTAACACACAGACATACACACACAGACATACACAGAGACATACACACACATACACACAAACATACACACACATATACACACACAAACGTACACACAGACGTGCACACAGACACATGCACACAGAGACATACACAAACCCACAGACATATACAAACACACATACACACACAGACATACACACACAAACACACACCGACAATACACACACAGACATGTACACACACACTCACACTTAAGTATATGAGCTTAAGAAAGAGAAATAAAGGAAAGACCGATAGTACTAAGTTGCTGTCTCAAAAAGGAATGACATGTAAAATGAAATAGCATGTAAAAATAAAATGTTCCTTTATTTAAAGAATAACAACACTTAAGGGAAATAGTGAAGCCAGTTTTGGATTGTGTTTTAAAATTTGCTGTAGCACCAGGTTTTTAAACTGCTTTCTTTACATGGTGTTAATGTTTTCAGCAGTTGATCCAGGATAAAGAGAATTTTTTTTTTAATTCTGCATTAGAAAAATAATGTGGCAGCCTACGTTCAAGATGCTTCACATTTGGACTCGCATTTCCTATTTTGATCTTTGCTTTCATCCAGTCTGTGATCTTGAGCTGAAAAGATTAAATATGATGTAGTAGACTCCCCTTTTTCATTTCCAAGCCCTTAGCTGTTTCGATGCACTCCGAGTTGGCATCATTCTGCATACTGTACGTCATAAAGCATCTCTGAGGCTACAGAAAGCACCTAATTTTTAAAAAGACTGTGTGAATGATAGAGATTCAATATAAAGAATTGTCATTGATAGTATATGTAGTATCTGTTTTTATAGACCTTATCTAGGATAGACATTGGAAGAAATAAAATATATTCAAATGGATTCTCACCTTCTATTGTAAAAGTCATTGTGGAGTATTTTATGGGAGTTGGATGGTGATTGGGAGAAAACATTTTCTTTGGTTATTTCAGGGAGGAAAGGGTAATAAAACTCTATGACGCCAATAAACACTAAGAGAAGGTTTTCTTTCACTCGAAAATTGAAGAACTAACAAATCACCAAAATATCACTTGAGGGAAGCTGGAGAGATTAATCGACAGAGCTGATTGCGAGGGCTGAGGGTAGCCCTCCAGACCCCAGCTGACAGCAAGTCAGTGTGAAGCCCCTGAGAGTGTACTCAAGGGCCTTGTGAGCCCTCGGTAACCTCTCCTTCTGTCTCTCTTTCTTTTTATAAGTAACTTTTTTTAAATGGCAGTTCATCTATTCTTAAAATTGATTCATTTGATGGATGTCCATTAAATGCCGGTATCTCAACTAGACACTAGCGTAGTTGGGAGAATATGAAATTTATAACTATTTTTTCTGTCTTCTGAATTTATTTTGTTCTGCTTTTTGAAACATTTTCATGTTTTTTTATGACTTAGACATGCCAACTCTCAATTTGATTTTATTACATTCCTTAGAAAAGAGGGACAGATTTTTTTAATTTACATTTTGATTCTAAAGTAATGACATTAGATTTTTATTAGGGATTTGATGGGTTTTTTTCTTTATTTGGATTCCGCCCCAGTAGTAATATAGAACAATTGCATAGTAACTGTGAAGTGAAGATTTCATCATTCCCCACTCACTGTAAACCCCTTTTGACTGTGTCCCTTAGTTAAACACTGTTCTTTGACCTGCTCAAGGCCTCCTGGCCAGTGATCCCTGAGCGTTCTCTGTATGTCTGTCTCCTCTCTTACCCAGCTTCGATTCCATGGCTCATCACTTTTCCCACTCTCCTGCCAATATTCTTGACTGTCCTGGTTTGTTGTCCTTCTGTCTTCTCCTGGTGGAACCCCACCCTCTAGTGAAGCCATGTCCAGGTCCACGTAGCTGCTAGTACTTTGGCGAAAATCTCACAGTCACCGCAAATAAATGAATAGCTGATCTCAAGGATCAGTTGTCCCCCCCATGCTCTGCAGCAGCCATCCTTTGACTTAGCCCAGAATAGTCTTCTCTCCTACTCACTGCTACCACCATTTCAACCTTTCTCTACTCTGCAAAACATGGCATCTCACTCCTTGCTGAAACTATGTCTAGACTCACAGGGAATAAAATCAGTTGGAGTGATTTCAGTGTAGCGACCCTACTCCTGTAAGATTCTGTGCATGCCTCTGAATGCTTCCTTCTTTCCTCTGTCTCAAAGAAAGAGTGCCCCTCTTTCTGATTAAGGTTAATTCCTCTACTTGTGCTCTGGAGTTCTCCTACCCCAGCCCCCCAAATACCTCACATTATTACTTTTCTTCTTCTCTCTTGGGCATTTTTATTTCAGTATTTAATATTATAAACTCTCATCATGAAAAACAGAATCTTCCCTCAGACCCAAGTCTCCTTCAGGTACTACCTGCAGTCTCCTTCTCTTCAAAGATGGAGTTCTTGAGAGTGTTCTCTGCGCTTGTTTTCTATGATTTCTTTCTTTCAACTCACACCCCAGTCTGTGCAGCCTGGCATTCCTCCCTGTGCTCCACAGAAATTATTCTCATTAACATCACCCCTGGCTTCCATAGTGCCACAGCCAGTGGACCTCTTTTAGACGCTTACGCAACCCTAGAGAGCATTTGCCCCTGTTGATTAATTCCTTTTAAATACTCTCTCTCCTTGGTTTCTGTGACACTGAGCTCTCGTGCATTTCTTCCAGCTTCTCTGGCTGCTCCTTTCTGGATCAGCTATGCAAATGGGAGCAAAAGTACTAATGGAGGACTCCATGCATAGGCCTACATATTTTAATATAAATCAAGGTGAAAAACTGTTATGTTTCACAAGAAGGCTGAGTTCAAATAGGAAATTCTCAGATTCCTTGGAGTTCAACACCCAGACCTCAGCAGCAAGAGCGGAACCGCCCTGGCCTGGAGCCAGGCCCCTCTCTTAGACACATTCTTGGTTCTCCCCAGTTTCAAAAGGACCCTCATGCCCACGTGGGCAGACACCTCAGCCTGCACATCCCAGCTCTTGTCACATTGTACCCACACATTGTGCATGAAAAGTAGTGCGTTGGCCATTCCTCAAGCCTGAGTGTACATCCCAGCAGCACAGTCGGTGTTCTGGGGGATGGGCCCTGTGAAGAAGACTGTGAACCCTGCTTGCAAGTTCAGAGCCATAAGGGCAAGGAATTTCGGGGTGCAGAGTATGGTCTAGGGAGTAAGCTCCAGACAGGCACATTCCCTTGGCCCTGCACATTCCTCATTCCATGAGGAGCAAGGCCCAGGGCTGTCTAAATGTGGGGCTCAGTGCAGGAATCCCACTTGCCCCGGTCTACGGGCGACATCAAAATCTTGGTGTTCTTTCGGGTTCTGTTGTTGAATTTCTCTTCTTCACTCTTTGCCTGTTCATGGGTGATGTCATGTATTCCAGTGGCTTTTGAAGTTACTTTCTATCAACTGATGGCTTTCATCTCTACATCTCAAGGCCAGATCCCTCTCTCCTGAGTTGGAGACTATACCTCAGTGCCTACTGGACATAACTATCAGCTCTTCTTTTCTATCTCATTGACATCCACTAAGTTTCCTAGGCGAGAAACCTGGGCTGCACGATTAACTTCATTTTTTCACTCTCTGTGTTGATAATCAGCAAGCCCTAGCAGCTGTATTTCCCAAGTTTCTCCCTAGTCCATCAAATTTTCTCCATTTCTGCTGCCACTATGCCAGTTCAGGCCACCACGGTCTCTAGCAACAACTTCCTAAACAACCCTCTAGTCAAGTCATTTACCTGCTTAATCTTTTCAGTGCTGTTGCTCTCAGGATCAAATTCAAATTCCTTTGCTGTTGAGTGAGCCCTAAATTACATGACACCATCCTTCTCACCCATTTTCACACCTGTTGCCTCTGAGCCGTACCACCTTCTGCCCCACCTCCACATTGCTTTACCGGGCTAATATCTGCCACCGTATTTGTATCTCAGGTGTCACTTCTTTCAAGAACTCATCTTTGGCTCCGCTAGTATGAGATATGAATTCCTCTTAGTTGATCCCATAGCACATGCCACACTGTATTATAAAGGCTTCCTAAATTGCTGTTACCCCCCTCTAACCAGTAAACTCTTTGAGACTATAGATGAGGTTGGCGTAGCTTAACTTTTAAAGTTCTGACATTGGATACCACAAGATGATTTCTTTTTTTTTTCTTTTTTTCTTCCATTTTCATTACTCTGGTCATTACTCTGCTCTCCCTTTGGGGACCTTCCTTCAAACCTGAGATAATACCAGCTCCTTGAAAGTGCTTTTCCAGCCTGCAGTTCTGTGGACCAGCATTTCCTATCAACATTACAAGTTAGGTGTCCATCTGCAACGACACGCTAAACGTTCATAATAAGTCCACAGGTATTTTCGAGAAGCATTACCCTGTGAAGATTTACCTATCAGAGTAACTAGGTAATTAGTAGGAGACCATATTTGTTTTAGTGGCAGAAGTTTAAAAAGATAAAATATTCTGTCCAGAGCTGGTAATATTTAAAGGAGAAAAATTAAAACTACTTCTTGTATTCTATGCACTAAACTCTTTAATCATTAACATTTAGACGTTATATTGAAGTAAAATGAAGTTAATTGATGTAAATATTAAAGGGAAAGGTACAAACATACTTCAATCAGGGAAAAGTATAGAAAACTGACAGTGTGTCACACCAGCACCATCTCATACGTGTCTGAATAAGAAAGGGGGAGGGGTGTAAACATGAATAATTATTCCTGTTGAGATGCAAAACAACAAAACATAATATTTTCCAAGTTTATAAATACTTTTGTTGGGAGTAACTCCTATTTTTAAATAGCCCCAAATTTCATTCCATTTACCAGCCAGTACAACTTTTAACAGTATTTTCATTGGGACTCTTGAACTCTCCAGAATGAAATATGTTAGCTCTGTAATTGTTTTTCAGTATAGCAGCTAAATCAACCAAATTCACCCCACACAAAAGTGAGGGAACAGGTTTTATAACCAAAGATCGCTCTAGCTTTTAACAATCTTTGTGGCTTGGTCACCGATGTTTACAATATGCAGAAAACAAGCGTAGCCTGAGTTCTGTTCACCTGGTATTTTTTCTTTCTCCTGTAGTTGCTGAGCTCTAGACAAGTAGAAATTTTAATAGTGAATGAAAACAAGATAACACACTCAATTATACTTCTCAGGCTGGATGCATTTTCACGATGGCGTTAGAAGAAGTACAAATGGCTTGTGAAATTTTTATTACTAGTCCCCTTTGCAGGGTTAGAGGGTCTGTGAGCCTCAGCAGAATTAAACAGCCTAAACACTTAGTAAAATATACCATGTTACAGAAAATGGATTTGATTCGTTAGCTTTGTACTTTTATGTTTTTAATCCAACCACTCATTTTGTTGTGTCTTTTTTTTTTTTTTCTTTTCTTTCCTTTTTGCCTCCCTTCCCCTCTCTCTCTTCAGGGGAAAAGCTCATGCGATACAGCTACCCAGACATTCACTTTGACATGAACTTAACGTACGAGAAGGAGGCTGAGCTGATGCAGTCTCACATGATGGACCAAGCCATCAACAATGCAATCACCTACCTTGGAGCTGAGGCCCTTCACCCTCTCATGCATCACCCGCCAAGCACAATCGCTGAGGTGGCCCCAGTGATAAGCTCAGCTTATTCTCAGGTCTATCATCCAAATAGGATAGAAAGACCCATTAGCAGGGAAACCTCCGATAGTCACGAGAACAACATGGATGGCCCCATCTCTCTCATCAGACCAAAGAGTCGACCCCAGGAAAGAGAGGCCTCTCCCAGCAATAGCTGCCTGGATTCCACTGACTCGGAAAGCAGCCACGATGACCACCAGTCCTACCAAGGAAACCCTGCCTTAAATCCCAAGAGGAAACAAAGCCCAGCCTACATGAAGGAGGAGGGCAAGGCTTTGGATGCCACCAAGGCCCCGAAGGGCTCCCTGAAGGACATCTACAAAGTCTTCAACGGAGAAGGAGAACAGATCAGGGCCTTTAGGTGTGAGCACTGCCGGGTCCTTTTCCTGGACCACGTCATGTACACCATCCACATGGGCTGCCACGGCTACCGGGACCCACTGGAATGCAACATCTGTGGCTACAGGAGCCAGGACCGTTACGAGTTTTCATCACACATTGTTCGAGGGGAGCACACATTCCACTAGGCCTTTCATTCCAAAGGGGACCCCTATGAAGTAACAAACTGCACATGAAGAAGTACTGCACTTACAATCCCACCTTCCCTAAGATGTTGACATACCTTTTTTTTTTTTTAAAACATTACTGTCATTAATTCTTATTTTGTGGACGCAGTGTCTTTCTGCCTAATTGCAATTAGGAAGCAACAGAAGGGACAGGGACGGGGGAATCTTGTTTCTTGATTACTTGGCTTATTTTGTGGGAATTTTAAGAGCAGTTCATTTCTGCCACGCATAGATAGAAGGCATATCGTGCTTTGGAAAAAAATCGATTGATTCGCATAGATTCACCTAAGAGATTCTGATTTGCCACAGATGTTCAGGATTATGATCTAAAGCAGGAAAGTCCCCGTGTGGGACTTTCGCAGTTTAAAATGGTATAAGTAATTTAACGCTTCAAAGAAGAATTTCTTTCAAAATGTAAACTGTTTTGTTTTCCTCTAGAGATCATGGAACAGAAACACATTGTTACTTTCAGTGATAGCTCCTTGGAAGGGTTGTTGTCGTGGGTTCTATGTTTACTTCCCCTATGGAATTTATAACACAGTATGTTATACACTGTACCATATAGCAAACCTTTTAAACTACAGGAAGTTAGGGCACCTCCAATACATCCGAGGTCCTGGGATCTTATTTTTCTAAACTTAAGCACTGTTTTTCCATAGTTTTGATGACTGGCATTTTATAGACACCCTGGCAGCCTTACTTTTAACACCTTTAATGAATAGTATTTTTTATCTAGTTTTTGGAATAACATATGGTCTAAGAGTGGCTAAGAGGCAGTTGGTAGTTTCCAGAAGGGACCTCTACTTTTCATAAATTTGCTTGGGAAGTTTTTTCTTTTAACGTTGAAATGTGATGGCCGCGTAGTATACGTGTTTGTTTCTCAAAGTATGCTTACGATTGTCACTTTATCAGCATTTAATCAGTGTTAACCAGTCAGCAGAAAAATATAATTAGGCTAACAGTAGGGGGAAAAAAAACCACTCAGAAATCCCTTTTCTGGTATATTCCTCTTTTCACTTGTGTTTTTCAAGCTGTGACCACCCAGTGTTCTGTCCATAGTCCTTTCATCTTTTACTCTTCCAGTGGAAGGTCTCACGTCCCGTGCTACAGGCTCTTTCTTTCAAACTCTCCTGGGAGCGATTGCTAATTTGACCCGAATGTGTAACGTGAACCCCGTAAGGCTATGGAACTAGGGCTATCTATTCTAGTATTTCTTCAATAATAACATCTACCACTTTGGGTGTGAGGAAAGGGGACTTGTTACCTATACATTGGACTATAGCTATAAAACAAACAACAACAAAAACAACAAAGCTTATTTTTACCCTTCTGGGAGTGTAGGATGCGACCTAACCTCCAAGTGACAGCGACTGTATCCTGCACACTTCCAGTCTCAGAAACATTCAGCTATTGATAAGTCCTTGTCAGAAATGGATCTCAGCTCCTCAGTGCAGAATTTCTCTTCTCGTAATCAGTACACGTTACCACAGCTCACGTGCAGGCTGTAAGTTCGCGTATACAGGTGCTCTGTGCTTCGCAGTCCTGCAGCTTTAGAGGGAAGCCACCCAGTGAGAGTGATTCAAGGCATTTGGGGGGCGGGGGGCGGGGGTACTTGGAGGCAGAACTCACTGCCCGTGTTGGGAGAGGGCAAGCCTAACCGTGCCTGGAGGATCTGATAACCATTTGTGAAATCTGTTAGCAGTAACTGATAGCTGCTCTAAAAAAGTATCATTAAGTTGGGTGCAGAAACTATGTTTCTTAATACAGAATGTGTGAGAATTAGCAAGACTAGGGGACTACGGACAGATAAGCCACTCTGGCCTCAACGCTGCTCTCTGCTCGTTTTCTAGCAACTTCCAGGCCCCAGCAAGCCGGAGCTCAGCAGCTAAGCAGAAACGGTTGCAACGCAGCTCCTTCTACTAGCCCCTGTTGTAATTGTATTTGGAGAAATGTCCAAACTGTTTCTTTAAATCTAAGAGAAGCACCAAAGCAGAGCTGTGAAATGTTTTAAATAGAGTGCCCACTGTCTTTTTTTTTCTCTCGCATGCTTTGGTACCTCGGTACAGTATCAACGAACAATTTATTCGAAGGTAAAGCGTGTCTTTGAGACTCCCTCATGCCTCCCACCCTAACCACACATAAGTAATTGATTTTGTTTTTCCTTTTGGTGGTAGGCAAATCATTTAAATCAGTGATTTTGTGTTTAACTGCAATTTAAAGAAACAGTTGGATGGCACTCAGTATGTTTATAACTTTGGCTCTGTGTGAACTGCTGGTGTCTTCTATAAATTTTCTTCCTGCTTATGGTTGTTGTTTTTTTTAATGTGAACAATTATGTACCTGCCCTGAGATAACACTGAATTTAGGTGGATCTAAAGAGTTGTGTAGTATACCCCAAGAAGACAGGGCTCCTGCACCCTCCTTTTCTGGTTTCATCTTTTTAGGAATCCGTTTTATTGAAGGGACTTAGAAGTCATGAGAGCGCATTTGCTACAAGCGTATGCTTGTGCTTTCTTAGCCTCGTGACATGAGGCACAGAGAGAGGTAAAGATGGCTCAGGGTGTGACCGGGACAAATGAGGACAAGGCCCATTCAGGTGTGCAGGCTAGGAAGAACTCCTGTGGACACCGTGCTTTCCGGGACACCTGGGTGCTGTACCTGCAGATTCCTCCTCACAAAGGAGGTAAGCAAGGAGGTAGCACCTCAAAATCAGTGTGAGGGTCAGACACCAGATAAATCAAGTTTTATATGACAGGTGTATGCCAGTTAATTCAGGTGAGAGTTTACAACAGAGTAGTTGAGGGGCATGAAAATGGGTGAGTCTCTGTGTTTTCTATTTTGGCAAAAATTCAGAAATTCATCACATTGCTTTGCCCTAATTTTGCCCAGAGTGTTCTCCCCAGCCCTTGGCGAAGCCTGCGACCTCTCCCTAACAGCCCTCAGCCGCTGATCGGGCCCTTTTCCAGCAGAGAGAGTGAGCGGGACGCAGACGGCAGGCGAGCCCGAGTTGACGCATTCCTTTGAGAATTTTCTGGAGGGACAAAGTGGGAGAATGGGAGACCAGGATTTAGATTTGGCTGCAAAGTAGGGAATATCTCTTCTGCACACGTACAAGCGTGTGTCCACACACGTCCTTTTAAAGAAAAATCATGAAAAGAAGCCATTGGAGTGGTGAGGTGTGTTGCAAGAACATAGGGAGGGTTAACTGCTCTTGGTACCTGAGCGCTCAGCACCTTCCTCCCTGCCCGCCGGTGCTGAGAAAGAGCAGAGGTTGCTCCTGTGTCCTTGGGACTCCTTGGAGCTATTGAAAGCCGGGTCTTTACTATCTACTTCAGAAACCATCAAAGTAATCAGTGAAAAAAGTAGATTTTAAGCTGATCTGAGACAGCCTCCCAAGTGAAAGAAACGGGTTACTTTTGGACAGGAAGATGCAGAAAAGAAATGAGGGACTGTTACCCGTTGGCAAGTGGAGAAAGACAAGAATATTTTGGTGAACTTGATACTGTCCTGTGTCTCAGTCGCACACCTCACAGAACCACCGGGAAGTCATTATGATAGTTTATGTACACGTCTGACAAAAGTTACATCAGCGAAGGGATTTTGGTGAAAATTGGTCTGTTTACTTTCCAATGTTAATTCATTTTATCTCCAAAATGATTCCTTAAGGTAGAAAAAGAAAAGTCTGCAAAAATACAAACAAAAAACTGTCTGCCCCGTAGCTTCAAGACAGAACCTAGATTATGAGGTACTGGCCGTGTTATTTTTAAACTTTAAATTGTTCATTTTACAAAAAAGGATGTTACATCTCTGATCATCTTTAGTTGTAGTTTATGTATTATTTTAGTAAGTACTATTTCATGACTCCTGTTCTAAAACAGAAATTCCACGAATGCACAGGAAAAAAAAGAGTGGCAGCGAAATTGTAGTTTGTATATATGAAAGTTATCTTAGAAATGTTTTTAAACCTCCAGTTTCTGCAAAATAATTAAAATATACAGTAACTGGTCTCTTTAAGATCCTGAATCTAATGTATTAAATACTTAGGAAATGTTTTTATATTGGTGCCTTTTAAAAACGCATTGAGAGTGTTGATTAGCTGTTGTACCTCTGCAACACTTTTATTATGTATTTTTAAAAATCACTTAAAATTGAGCACTATATAATTTATCCTCGTGTTTTTAGGGCAACGCTGTTCGAAGAATTTCCAATACAAAGCCGTTTCAGCCCATCTGTGCAAAGTCAAAGGAAATTTTGAAACCAGACTTTAATATCTTTTTAGTTAGATAGTATTTCTGAATCCCGTTACAAGATTATGCAGGTGACACAGGAGGTAGATGGAAAGTTCAGCTGTGAATTGCATTATGGTATGTGTTTTGTTTTGTGTTTAAGGAAAAATAAGTTCTGATATCATGCAAGACTTTGTTAGTGGAATTTTTGCTCAATAAAACAAAGCATCGTTTTGGAATTTCATCTAATGACTAGCATTGCACTAGTCTTAGAAACTCTGTCTTCTAATCTGTTAATGTTTAATGGAATAATGTAACGAAGCAGGTAACTCATTCTCCTTGAACAAAACAAAACTGAGCAGTCGTATCACACTGCTGTTCTCCACAGCACAATCTCAGATGGTTCCCCACCATGGCTGCGTATTACTTGCAAGGAATGTGTTAGGATATGACAGCTTTTTAAAACTAATAATAATAATAATAATAAGCTGCTTGTTATACAAAGCAAATGTCATGTGACCAAGAAGCTGTGATATGCTCGTGTTTGCTTTTTCATAGCGGATTGCTAGGCCAAATAATGACACCTTAAATATTTTTACATTTTTTGCAGAAACCTAAAATTTTGAGATTTCCCTGCGGTTTTTATGTAACATTCTGGTTCTGGCTTTTTAGTTTTCTCTTGCTGTACTGTAAGTTTGTGGGTACTTTTCACATGCACTCTTAGGAGTAAGATCTTAATTCTGTTGATGAGGCTTTTCCCCCCCATCACATTGCATTTGTATATTTTCTGTATAAATTTGTTGTGAATTAACCTTTATCCCATACAGAGAAGGGTATGTGAATGACTCGTTTTCTGCGATGTCCTTTTTATTGTGAATACAACATAAAATTTAGAGGCCCTCTGCTAAACCACATTAAGTATAGCATAGAGCTTCATGCAGGCACAGGTCAGCCAGTTTGCATTGATTGGGCCTCCCGATTACCTCAAGTGACACACAGTAAGAAGAGCCTCTCCGATGGTTGGAGGTCCCTGAATCCCCTGCTATGCACTTATCAGGATTCTACTTAATTTAATTTACTGGAGATGAATTTTAGAAATTGAATACACTGTAATAAGGGAAGGACCCTGGGTTTTGTTTTTGTTGTTGTTGTCTTTTGTTTATTTTTTTTAAGTAGTTCAGTTTCTGAAACTGTGATTTTTAAAAAATTGACTGTCAAGCACTCTCAGATGTTGAACATAAATCATTTCCCCTTCTGCGTAACAAAATCCTCCGCGTTGTCTCTTCTTAAATGTTGTCTCCCCTCCTCCACCCCTCTCCTCCCTCTGTCCCTGTCTCTTCCATCGTTGACTTTGGACTTCCCCACCTGTCTTTTCCCCCTGCTAGTTTGAAGATTAGGTCAATTCTTACTTCAGAGTCATGGGTCTCTTAAGTCTTAATTTTTTGTGTGTGATTTTTTTTGTTGGCTGTATAATCTGCTGACATATTTTTATACTCAAGTGTAGTTTTATATTAAAAAGAAAAGTAGTTGGATTAAAAATGGTAAGGTATATAACCTCGGTGTTACTTTCACTTTCAAATATTGGGTCCCTAAAATAGGACTTCAGAGATTATGTAATCATCATATGGTATGTTTGCCTTCCTTTTTTGTTGAATTTTGTGTTCTGATTTGGTTTTCCTCCTAAAGTGTATATTATGAGAGATTAAACAATTTTTGCAAGTATTTAGGAAGATGTTAAAGTTTTAAAGTCTTAACTCTTTCCCAGTTGGGAAAAAATGCTTTAACATTACTATTATATTATTCCAGGTTTAGAGGGGGCTCTCCAGGCTCCATATTTGCCCTTAATAGTTGGACCTTTTAGACCATGTGTTATTTGCAATTCTAGGATGATTGCTTCTGCTACTTAGTTTAAAAGATATTTTTCTTTTCTTTCTGTACAAGTGCAATACTTTCCTTGAAGTCTTAAAAACTATGGTTATTTTGTTTGTTTGCTTTCTGACCTATTCTTTCGTTAGTTAATGAAAAAAGAAACCCTTGAAAATCATGGTGTGTTAGTTAAAGGACACAAAAAGCAAAGAGAAAAACACTTCACAGTCAAAAAAAATCAGAGAATATGTAAACCATTGATCTTATCTCACGGCACCTTGATTTAGGCTAAATTCCCATTGCAAGCAGTAATCTTTTGCCTGAGAAGTGTGTCCTAAAGCTGAAAGAGACTGAATTTTCCTCTTAGACCCTTGCTCAGTGTTTTAAATTAAGAACCTAATATTTTTTATTTCAATTTTCTCCTTTTGACAATGAACTTTAAAATGAAAACAAAGCACTTAGCTCAATTTTAAACACTTGCCTATCACTTATTGGAGAAAATTTTTAAGAAATATTTGGAGCACTCCTGTTTTCATACAAATTTAAGTAAGAAGTATTTTTCGTATCATACATATTTATATGCCGTTTGTTGGTTTTCTTTTTTTATACCTGTGTCCCTGTAGTAAAACTGCTGTAATGTAAATACATATTTTGTTAAAAGATGACATTTCTTTGGCATTTCTCTTAAAGGCAGTTACTGCATTTGTACAGTATGTGTCTTGGCCATTTTAGATTTTTTTTCTTTAACAATACCAAAGGTAATTAGACTACTTTAAAAACTAATTGCTTGACAGTTTTTAGGATATTCTGAGTTGTAGAAGCAAAAAATAAAAATAGGTCAAACCAGTAAACCTCATTTTTTTTCAAACTAATAATTTGGGAAAATAAAGCTATTGTTTAAAAAAGAAATATATATAAATATATATGTAAAATTGAAATTCCAGACCTTGTATGTCAGGTTTGCTCAGTGTAATGTAGTTTTTTTAAGGCTCAATTACCATACCTCAGAAAATGAGGTTTACTATGGAAATACTGAAAGTCTTTGCAGCTGTGTGACAAGTCACTCTGCTATACACCAGTTTGGAGACCTCCGACATCACTGCAGACTAAACGATGGGACTTGTATTTTCTTTGTTTTTAATGCACACACATACATGTTCGGTGCATGTGTGTGGGTACTGTGTATACGTGTATGAGTGTTGTATATGCATGTGTGAGTGTGTGTCTGTATGTGTGTACCACTAAAAAGCTGCAGAAACTTTGTAATACTTTGTGAAAAGGATTATATTATAAAGGTTTGTACTGTCTGAGTGCACAGCTACTGGAATAAATTTAGGGAATCTCAGGAACAAGCATATAATTTGTCCAAGATTTATTTCTTCTCAGAAGTGTAAGTGCAGTTTTTAATTCTGTATATTATTTAATATTTTACCAATAAAATAAACTTCTGACATAAAAGTTTGCTATAAAAACTTTCTGGTGAAAATTCTGTACACAAACATCTTGCAAATGCAGAAGATTAAACTGTTGACTAGCATCTGGCTTGTGGAAGTCGTTGTCATGGCCACTGTGTGTGTGCGTTACACTGTCCGACCAGAGGTTGGGATGTGTGTGGTGTTCGTAATCCCCTCCATTGCCCTGTAGCCCACCAGGCAGAGCACCAGGTGTCCCACGATCTGTTAAGGATGACATCTCTTATCTCTCCAGAAAGTTTATATTATTTTGCCCTTGAAACAAATCTAAGAGGCCTACATTTCA